TGGGAGACGAACCTTTAGTCCTTTGTTCCGAAACCGTCTTAAACCAATCAGTGTTGCAGGGTCATAACGCATGCGCATTAATAACAGTATTCGCACAGCTGTTGTGGGTGTTCGCATAGCAAATTCGCACAGTCTGGGACCACACAACTTCCCGCCAGGGCTTCAAGTGATATTGTGCATGTGCAATGACCCTGAAACGGGGGCTAGTGCATGTCTGGAAGACGAGCATGATTCATCTCCCGAACAATCGTTGTGTAAGATTGGATGACGTGTACAAAGAAAGTCTTCAACGAAGTGACAGAATAAATCACTTCTATCAATAAGGATAGGCTTTTCCTAGAAAAAATTCACCCAAACTTCGCCCATTTTTCTTCACCAATGGCGGTGAAATCTTACTTCTTGAGGAATTCAACCCTCCTCCAACTACCCTTTCTCCGCATAACAACGCAATATTCAAAATTTGCTTATTATCATACAAAATACATCTTCTAGAAAGGAAGATTTTTGGCAAGCAGGAGCACCGAAAAAGTTGGCAAGAGATGTAGATATAGCTTCCTATATACAAACAGGTCTTGTCAGCCATCAACTCGTACCGAATATTAACACATAGCGTCAAAAAATATATATAGCGCTCTGAAATATATTTATAAGGTGAAAAATACTATGGATTTCTGAATGGAACTTTCTTTTCAAAATCCAACAGCTAAACATAAACAACATAATATTCAAAATACACCTATCAATTATATTAGAACTATATCATACACTTGGTGAGTCAGTGCTATCAGGTCGAGTAGGTACTACACCAATATTTCTATTATGCCACAAGCGGTAAAAGCACCCCCTTTTTAGACCCCGTTTACACGAGAGTGGATCCGAACCGGATCGGATTCAAAAGAGTACGGATAGGCCTTGCGTTTACACGGGAACTGGTGGATCCGTATACTTTTGGATCACTTTCAGAGGTGATCCCATATGGATCCGATCTGGACCGGATCCCGTGTAAACGGGTGGTTTACAGTTTCTTCTTCAGTCCACGAAAATTTGCCCTTTTTAGTGTTATCTCCCTCCATGTTCAGGTTGAACTGTGTTTTGATTACGCACGAAGTTCTGAAAACGTCATATACGCGCCAATTTTTGAAAAGCGCATGCACGTAACCTGTTGAATTCACCTGAATCAGTTTCCGTGTAAACGCAAATTGTTCTGGATCGGATCCCGTGTAAACGCATTGCCATTTCAGGGATCGGATCCAAAAGGATCCGGATACTTTTGGATCCGCTCTGGTCCAGGTCTCGTTTAAACAGGGTCTTACAGTTTCAATACTGTTTATGAAATAATATCAAAGAATTTTTCTTTCAAAGTTAATAGAATAGGCTCTGAAAAAAAATTGGAAGTTAAAGATTCTGAATAAGATATTTTTGAAAAAGCTCTTGTTTTGCTAAAAAGTGGATAGGAAGTGTGTTGTTTTTAGAAATAAGGATGAAAGATGGTTTATCCTCCACACCTCTCGTTAAGCTTGCTTCCCACTAGGCGGCTAAGTGCGTTTATCTCTAATCCTTTAATTGAAATAGAGATAAAAGATAAACTACGGAGGCAATCCCACTTGCAAAACATAACCGCTTTAACTAGCATTAGGAAGACATGCTAAAATGAGCTGTAAAGCTTGCTGAAGAAATTGGCAAGTAAGTAACCTTTCACGTCCTAGAAGTTTTCAATTATTGAAGACAAAACAAAAAAAGTTCTTCGTGCGCGAAATTGTTTAAAAAACGACACGAAGGTGTTCTCTTTGATACAAACAAGATTCTCTTTGATGGAATAACCAAGGGCGAAAGAGAATATTGTTTCGGTATTTGTGTATGGGTCCAGTGAGATTCAACCTTTTGCTAGTCCTTGCACAACCAAGAATAGATAGATAAAACATCCGTAAAACATTACAAAACATTTTTTGTACCAACATTGTTGGACGATGTTTTATGACCTGGCCGTTTACACGAGACCTGGACCAGATCGGATCCAAAAGTATCCGGATACTTTTAGATCAGATCCCTAAAATGGCAATGCGTTTACACGGGATCCAATCCAGAACCATTTGCGTTTACACGGGAACGGATCCAGATGAATTCAATTGGTTACGCGCATGCGCTTTTCGAAAATTGGCGCGTACAACCTCCTTTTAAGTTTAACCACGCAGATCAGATTTTTTTGATCTGGACGTTTAACTTTTTTAAGCGTTTATGTGTATTCAACTCCCCGGAGCATGTCATTGGGAAATGATGGAAACGCCGATCTTTTAAATTCGGTTTTAGCTTCAAGATAAAGAAGATATCAAGGTAAACAAAGAAAAATCTTGGCGATATTTGATTACTGTTGACTACCAAAAAATGTTTTTGAAAAAAATGGAAGCAAAATTTGCCAAAGGACACAAATTGTTGCATCACCCCCTCCCCCCACCCTCCAATCTGTCCATCGTTTCCTTCAAATGACTTCGACAGACATTCTGATAACTGTAACATCGTCCGTAATTGCGCTGGTTGAGTGCAAGAGATATAAACTCATGCTTGGCATGTAAGTGCTATTTAATATTGCACTTTCTAGCTGCTGTAAAAGTTGGAGCACATTGCCGAGCGACAATGCTGACGAATCGACGGTCTTTCATTGCTGACGAAAGCTCATCTTCAGTATAGCCTTTTTGAAGACAAATTTTTATTAGAACATTTTCCTTTTGCTTGCATTTTTGTTCGGTACTTAGTTTCCCCCCCGGCGGGCAAATATATCAGCTCAAATGAAATTCTTGAGTTGCTGAATAACACGAAGGACAAAAAACTTCAAAATCGAGGTAAAGCAACCTAAATTACGACCATCAGCCTTTGAACTCCACGTGCTTGAAAACGGCAGAACCGCCATTTTGATGACGTCATGCAAACTTTAAATAGCAATAACTCGTTATCTGCTGGTCTGATAGAGTTTATTCTCTAGAACTTTTTGCTCCTATTACAATGCCAAACAAGATGGTTGGAACGATCTTTCAGAAAAGAGAATTAAAAATTTAAATGACAGGGGGAAACGATGTCATCGATCACATGAATTCTATTGTGTTACAAAAATGTATCCAAGGCTTAAAATATTCAGCAAGGCTGAAGGTACCCAAATCAAGAGCAAATACTAAGGTTAGGCACTTTGCTCGACTGTTATTAAAAATTCCCTGTCAAAATGTTTAGAGGTGTCCAACGAGAGGTGGTCAAATATGCTGAACATTTTGACTTGGCATAATTTGATCACAGATGCTCCAAAAACAATAGCAAGGTTGAATGGATTCACTGAGCGTGTTTTATTTCTTTAAGAATCGATTTTACTTCGTTGAACATCGCTCGTCGTCACTAAACGCTTCGCCGTATGACCATACAAAGTGTTCAATATTCCTGCTTCACAAATGTCGAGCGCTTTCGCGTGACGATCCATGATTTTTTAACAAATTTTTATATTTACTAAAGAACTAATTTCTAGATGAAAAATATTTATATGATCTATATCAATTGACCCGTGGTTTGTCTTGAAGGAACATTTCATTCACAGGAACATTTTATCAAAAAATTATTTTCTTTGGGTTGTCCTCTTACGGGTTGGTTCTTTGAGAAAGTTTGTTAGAAATTTTTGCCTCTTTGAACATAAAAGGAGGGTTGGCTACTTGGCTTGTTTAAAACCATATTTCAGAAATTGTGCCAAAGAGTGCAATATTTCAGAAGCCAGTTTTGCAAAGGGTGCAATATTTGGCACTCTCACGTGGAACTCTCATGGGGAGCTTAAATAGTAATAATAGAGACGTTCCTGATTATGATTGTTGTACAGTTTGTTGATACAGCCGCTACAACGATACTAAAAAATACTGTTAAGTTTTAGAAAAAATAACATTCTCTATTTAAAATTTCTCTATCGCGTCCTGTCAGTAATTGCCTACCTCCTCTCCCCTCATTTGAAGGTCTTACAATACCCCACAGACAGATAGATATAGATCGGCGTGCTTCCGAACTCTTGTACTTTTCTGCACATTTTCAAAACTTTGAAGGAAAATTGGAAGATATGTGGGGCGCCATTTTGACCCTTTGCCCCCCCCCCTGCAATCTCATCCCCAGCACGCCACTGGGGAGCTTACATAGTAATAAGCACCAAGGGTGTTGTGCTGTCAATATAACCAGGTAGGCTCTTGCCCGAAATGATTCAAAATACAATAGCAAAGTAGTAATTGACTGAGCCCTCTTGATTCCTCTAGCACAATGCCCCCTGATAGTGATACGCACCCATCTTGAGGGCTTGTGACCCCCGTTCTCTTTGGTGACGCCCCTAGTTCTGGTATCAGACAGGGAATTCTGCATAACCATCTAGCGACCTGCTTTACCATCTTGCACAGGTATAAAGTAATAATGCGATTTCAATAGAAAACTAGGATCAAGTGCCCCGGTCTAGAAATAGCTTTTTGGAATATATTCAAGCTGGATCTACATCTCATTTTATGCTTATAAAATGCACAATTCAACTGCTAGGCAACTTCAAAATAAATAAACTTCAGAAACTGTATGGCAAAATGAAAAAGTTTAAACGGCCATTACTATTTGCAAAGACAAATAACATTGATGAACTTTTATAGGATAGTTCTAATTGATGAGTTATTAATTTTTATCTGAAGGCCGAAATTAATGACCGTATATATTTCAAACTTCCGGTAATGTGACTTCCGTATTTTGCAAAAAGGTTCCCAAGAAATCTTTACTTTAAGATTTGAACTTTAGAAAGAGATATTTCACTTAGGAAAATTGCTAGATAGTTATGCAAATTCCCCGTCTATATTGGTTCAATCTGGAATGTATACTACACATTGCAGACCAGTTGGAAAAGAAATAGCGAAGGAAGCAGATTGCAAAGAAATGCCTTTGATATATACATCTATATGTTTAGTTCATGTTTTGATATTTGATACCTATATGACATAAATTCGGTATTTTTTATATAAGTGCTGACAACTTGGATCGAAAACGTTTTCAAGCCTTATGCTTGACTTCAAGAACTTACATTCGTCTTCCAACGTTGATTACAACCCTAATAATGTTTCCGGACAAAGGAAAAAGCAACATTTTTAATTATTTTCATGCAGGCTTTAAAAGTAAACATGAAGAAAATTTTAAAGTTGTTTTGATATTGTACATTAGCTGCACACCTCATGAGCCTCGTTGGACATCTGCATGAACAGTGTTGAAATTGCGTTACCTGGGCCGATAACCGTACTTTGAAGTAATATTCATCACTTTGAAAAAGACCCTGTAGAGAACGGACTCACATCATGTAGTGACTGTCAAATAAGCAAAATCTGTATCATTATTTCTGTATGCCAACGGAAAACGATACTGTACAAAATACCGTTGATGTAGTTAGTAAAACTGAGCGGTGGTCTCAAATGCAGTGGAAATAAAAACAAGAAATGAGAAAAACACAACAAGAAGCTTTGCCATAAATAGTTAATCAATTTGTTGGGTTTTGAGGATTTCTTCTTTTATGGAAGTGTTAGCGGCTTGATTTTTGACCTCCTTATATGTGAGTATAACACAGAATAAATATACTACATGATTCCAACTCGGTGCATCTCCGTCTGCAGAATATGGTATCTTTGGGCGATAATTCAACCTTGCGCAGTCATTTTAGCTTTGCTTGGTTATCCAATCCAACGCTGAAATTATATTTTGAAGGAGTTACCATATTCTGCCGACCAGCACGGATAACTTTTGCCAGCTATTTCGAAAACGTTTTTTACAACCATGCTTTTATTTTATTTTTACAACAGAATTATGTTCTGACTTCATTTATGTTTGAAATCTATCAAAAGATGATATTATATTTTTATATTATACATGCTTTATCACTTATCATTTCATATCCTATGACCTATACCTACTTTAGCATTCTGATGTTGGCAGTCGTGTAGCCAGGGTGGTGAGATTGAGAGGGGGCAGAAGCGAATTGAGCAATAGAAAACTGGGGGTCCACAACGTTTTGTACGCCAGAAAACGGCCTTTAAAAAAATTGTCGCCGTTGAGGGAGGGGGGGTCCGCCCCCTCTTGCCTCCACCTCGCTACGCTACTGGATATTGAGGAAAAAGGGGTTTGTTTGAGTTTAGCTGAAATCCACCATCAATCATGCTCTTACCTGTAACAATATATGTCGTGAAGTTTAGGTATTGTAGAAACCCCCTCCCGTATAATTAGAAAAGAATAGAGATGCAAGTTCACAGGTCAGCCTCGTTGTAGGATACAATGAATACACGTGATAAGAGCCAACAAAGGTCATAGGCCGAGGTTAGTAAGCCTTTTAAGGTATTAAGGGAAACTTAAATGGGCGCACTATATCTGCTAGCAGATATCTTAGTTAGTTACTGGGAAGCTAGTGTAAAGACGAGTGCTAATGCCAAGAGAAAGGTCTAGTGTAAAAATGGCAACTCTCTGGCGTAGGCCAGTTGAGGGTGGAAAGTAACTCGTATGGATTTGTCGCAACCAGTAACATTAACCGGATAGTCGCGAAAAGGGCTATTAGAAAATTGTAAAATGTTAAAGGTAAAACTTCATCTAGGGTGTCTTTATTGTCTTTCCCCAGAGATACGATGAAGGAGAAAGAGCTTTACTACAAGATACGACACCATCTAACTAGCTTTATAAGCTTTGAACGATAAAAAACTTGTTTTCCCTCGTCAGATTAGTCAGCCCCCTCATAAAATTAATTTTTGTGACAACCCTGATTCAATTTGCAAATTAAGATCGCCCCCGTGTAGCGCAAGTGCCCCTCATAAAGCCATAGTCTTTTTGAAAGAAAATTCACTGGGGGCAAGTAAATATTCATTTAAACAGTGAAAAGTCTTTGGCGCTCGAGAGGCAGTTGTCTCACTAAACGAAGAAAATACACCACCACCATTCATCATTATTACCAATGAATAACAAAACAGACTCCTTAACAAAGTGTGTTATAGAAGCAATAGTAAAAGCTCATTACCTCATATCGTCGTGACAAATTAGGGCCTGAAGAGAAAAAGTACAACAGCAAATATATGGATATCTATATAGCTGACAGATAAAAAAAAGAGTATAACAAAGAAATCGAAGCAACTATTAGAGCTAAAAGCGAATATTTACTGTACAAGAGGTAGAGGAATCTTTCTAAAGATTTCCCTTGAAAATTTAGCAATATATGCAGTAAGGTTTTTCTGTTTTGTTTTGATTAAAAAGGCAAATTTATATTTAGTTGGGTATCTTGAAAAATTGTATTCAGTCGTTTATCTTAGTAGAATAAAATCCAAATGACATAAATCAAGTTAAATGAACTGCGAGTAGAATTTAAGTGGCTTTGTAATTACTGTATAGAACTCTGCCAACAAAACATCTTACTTCATGATTTAAGGAGCACCAAGAATAAGTATAGATGCATTTAAGTCTGCGATTTTGTTACAAATTGGTCAAAATATGGCGAAACAAGTGCAGACTATTTTCTTATAAATCCACAGAAATTTGGCCTTGGTTCTAAAGTTTATGAACCAAGCCAAACACCTGTAACAATAAATAAGTTAGCAAACAGAAAACATAGGTTGAATTAAGACTTTTTATTAGTCATATCTCAATGTCTGATAACTTTCATACCAGATTAGGGGTCTGGAGTACATGCTTTGTCTGCTACGCTCTGAGTGATTAAATCAGCCCGCCTTTTAAAGTAGGCCTGAAAATTTCGGAGAGACATTTTTAATGAATAACCTCATTTCTACTTGCTGCTTTGCATTTCTTCTTACATGAACTCAATCGAGAAATTTTATATGAGAAATATGCAGTCGCCATCAGGATCGATAGAATATGGGGCGTGCGGAGTAAGAAAACTCCCCTTTTAAGACACTATTTCTCGTCAGTCAACCGTTCCGAGCATAGTCATGGTTCAGAGTTACCAATAGCTCTGCAGCTCGTTTATAATTGGAAAACATTGAGAATTAGCCGATTGGATGCGAAACAATAAGTGTATTTTAAAGCGAAGAGTGTTTTGCTAATTAGGGAAGCATCGTCCGCGACTAATCAAACTTGTCATTAAAGGTTCTTACACAACCAGCATGCTTTGTGACTTTATTTTCAAAACCGGCGAAATAACGTACTGAATTAAATTACAAAATACAGCCTATTTCATCTCGTGAAAAAAACAGGTAGCGCAAAGCATGCCCGTACCTCAAGAACCTTTAAACAAAGGATTGTGCACGATAGCTAGATACTGTCTTTATCACTTTCGTTTTATTGGTGTCACCACTAGACAAACAGTACAGTAGGATTGAGTATTAATTCCTAACTTGACGTCTTTCAACCTTCTCGAAATGTAATAAGACAGATGCAACAGCAACAACATATTCACATATAACGTAGCACAGGGTGGTTAGCCAGCGTCACAGATCTTCCTATGATCTAAGTGATCTGTGATGCAGGCTAAGAATAGTTTGCATGGTGCACAAGTTCAGCTGGAAGCACGAATGACGTATTCGTCTTTACTGAGGCTTATCATGAAAAGAATGAGTCTTCGGAAATTGTACATTCGTTGGCAGATAACAGCAACAGGTGAACTAGCTTTATTGCATTCAATTCTGTATAAAATCGTTTAGCTAAAAATGTGTTTTCAGATAACCTAAGAAATAGTCCTATTGTCACAATAACGTTAGTCATAGTGGATTCGTCTGTGATAGTATCTCTACAATGCTGGAATTTGCAACGTCTGAGAATGCGACCTGGTAAAAATGGTGTCTCAACATATCTGGTGTATTAAACTGTAAGCCTTTCTAAAAGTGCGATAAAATCATATCTAAAAGATGTTTTTTTATTTGGAAGTGCCCAAAACCTATAAAACATACGGTGCGTGTAACTAATTAACAGACATTTGCAATATTGGTGGACATGTTTTAAGCTAATTGCCAACGGAAGACATGCATCCAAACAGTATACTAGCCCTATGGAGATTCCCAGGTCAATGCCGCCAATCATCATAACATGCAAGGTCCAATCAAAGCCGCAGCATGAAATTCAATTTGTAAGATCTTTAGCATAACGCAGGCAAAGAGCAGATTATTAGTGTCTTTGAATTTAACCCTCAATAATTTAAATACCAATAAGATCATAATAAATTAAATCGAATCAGCAATCACAAACATACATTGGTGGCATACAGATTTAGGTATTATTTACACAGTATGAAGTTTCAACTCTTTGCATTTGTGAATATAAAAAGTAGACTAAAAGGTAATCGACAGTACTAAATAGGCTCAATCCATCTCTCAAGCAATAATTGACCAATCAGTGAATGTGATTCCTTTCACACGCTTTTGATTGGCTAATTTTGATTAAAAGATGGCTTACCGTAAATTAGCCCCTTGGTGCTTAATAATTTTTGATATTTTTGGATGGGGGCTCATCCGAGGGGGGGGGGGCTTATCAACAAATTGTAGTTCTATTGTGGGGGCTTATTCTATGGGGGGGTCAAGAGGGGGGCAATTCGAGGATTTATAGAAAGCCCCTTTTGCATCTGTCGATTGCCTTCAAGAATCATGGCATATAGAAGAAGCGTAGCATCATTGCAGACTAAATACGACGTTTAAGGGTTCACTACGGCACATAGAATTTGTTTTATGACATCGAGCCGGCCTAACTCGTAAAAACTGACGACGAGTATAGGTTATAATACGGTTAATTTTGATAGGAAAACCCTTGCTAATGCTTATAATTTATATCAAAATTGTATGAATTAGAGGTGAAGAGAGGTCTTACCTTGACATAATGATAGTTTTAAGACATTTGTGAGATTGCCAGCTAATGCGTTATAATGCCGTATTGCCCCTAATAGGCTAATTTCATCGCAAACCCCGAGAAGGTGTATTAAAGAGGCCAGATAACATGAAATTATTTGCTAAGTTCAGGTTGTCTTTCTAAGGTACTTGAGCGACTTTTTCAACATAAAAAAGGACAAAAAATTCCTTTTGTCTCAAGTACATTTGCAAAGAATGTGTATTTGCCGGCAGAAACATAAGTTTCTCTAGGAATTTCAGCACAATATGTAGAGCAAGAATCTTGACATATGATCAATACGATTGTTTAAACTTTTGAAGGTTTTCCACATAACTGTCCTTACTGAAACGATTTAAATAATCGGACATTGATGACATTTTTAAGCAGGTGTTATTTTATTTGCAGAATATTTTCGTACCTTTCAAAACATACAGTGACGCTAGCAAACTTTTAGCAAAGTTACGACGAATAATCCACGAAATTCCATGGTTTCAGACATCCTGCACATTTTTGGCTTTTATAACACCGCAAACATCTGTTCCTGAATATTTCACAACGCAAATTTCTGCTCCAAATACTTTTTTCTTTTAATTAATTCAAACTTTCTGCTCGAGATCTTCTTTTTCAGCTGCCTACAAGCTTCATCAGCTACACCGTTTGTCTAACCTAGAAAAGCGTTACAGGGGTCCTTCAAATTGTCAAATTGTCACTAGTTTTCATCGCTCTTCCACATTTTAAGTGTGCTCACAAAACGTGCTTCTTTCTTCTTTAATATAAGGGCCAGTAACAAAATTCAGAATCAAGTCGGTTGGACGTTTTGATAGCTCAAAGCAAAACAAAAAAACCATCTGAACCGCATTATATTTCTTTAAAAACATTAATTGTTAACAATCAATTAGTACTTCTAATGCAAATAACTATTAGAAAGAAATTCATATTTTTAAAATGACAATAATTGCTACATGTATCTCAAATACATATTAGAGTGGAAAAACTCTCAATTTTTAAAAAAATGGCATTTATAGAGCATTTTAAACCGTATACAATAAGGGCGAATCAGTTCATCTCGTATATTTGCGGTTTCATAGTGTCACGTGTAATTATGTCGGACGGACACATTTCAGATGGATACATGTCGGACGGACACACGTCGGAAAGACAAAATGCCATTTCTACGTTTTACCTGTCCGACATGATAACCGCAAATCTAAGTGTTAACTCACATGAAAGGGGTTTATTGTTGGCTAACACTTGGTAAAAATACCTGTCTTATCTTAGCATTCATTACGATACTACTGTTTACAAAAGGGAATGCCAATCCACGATAATCCTGTTTCTACTTGTTAAATCTGCCAAATATTTCATAAATATTATAGAAAATTGTAAAATGAAAAAGGCCACAAAGATCTGTCGGCCATGAAGCCGTCTCACAAATTCTGTCATATGTACTATTTGGCGCGCACTTCTATCACTTAAATAGCCTATAATTATTCAATGGAACTGGGCAAAATGGCTACATTCCAAAATTTGGATGAAAACTATTGCAAAGCTGTCTCTTTTAACATTCAAAATTCACAAATTCTGTCATATGTACTTTTTGGCGCGCACTTTTCTCACTTAAATGGTCTATAATTATTCAATGACACTGGGAAAAATGGCGACATTTCCAATTATGGATGGAAACTATTGCAAAGCTGTCTCTTTTAACGTTCAAAATTCATGAATTCTATCATATGTAGTTTTTGGCGGGAACTTCTCTCACTTAAATGGTCTATAATTATTCGATGAAACTGGGCAAAATGGCGACATTTCCAATTATCGATGTAAACTATTACAAAGCTCTCTCTTTTAACGTTCAAAATTCATGAACTCTGTCATATGTAATATTTGGCGCGTACTTCTCCTACTTAAATGGCCTATAATTATTCAGTGAAACTAAGAAAAATGGCGACATTCCCAAATTTGGATGAAACGTTTTAGATTGCAAAACTCACATTTGCTTTGTTGCCCGTAATTATCTAGCTTAAATGGCCTATAATTATTCTATAAAACTGGACAAAAAGGGTATGGTCGAAAATAAGTACAAAATGTACTGTGTTTGATTTCAATTTTATTTAATAAGATCTGTACTCCTTGCAAAGTCTGGAGCCAAAACAAAAACATCAACTATTTTCTCCTCTTATTGGTTTGGTTGAAGGCAAGCAGTATGAAAAAATCGCAAGTATTGTCTTTGAATTTACAATGTCTAGCTCCGACTTAAATCCACACGACAAGATGGCTGATGGCATAATTACTTCGCAACCATTGTCTTCGCAATCAATCGCAACTATAGTTATAAAATTTACAATGTTTGGCTCTGATTGGATCATACAGAGTGAGGACTAAAGTGCCGCTGAAAAATGCATTTACAAACTTTGCACTTCTTATCTGTTGCGAAAAACAAGCGAGAGAAACAAGCGCGATCAGGTTTTTGATAACCTAGCATTTTGCGGTCTGATTGTCATAGAACAAATAATCGATTGATCATGTTCTGAGCAAAAAGACTGTGAAAGCACTCGGTCGATGCACAGTATGTTTCTTATACAGTCACTCTTCAAAGAGCTTCGGAGAATATTTTAGAAAAAAAGGGGTTGCATAGAAAAATAACTAAATCATTCGAATATCAGTTTCCGAACCGATCAGTTTCTAAGCCTGCTAGGAAGAAAACCCACAACGTTCATTCTAATTGTTCATTTTCTTATCATGATACTCCTTCAGTCAGTTTACAATATAGCTAATGAACTCTGATTAATCAAAAAAAGATAAATCAGTAAGATGCGAAGAATAGAAAATAGAAACACCCATAATGATACTGCTCCTCTCCAGAAGGACATGTCTAGGAATAGCGTTGCAAATTTTTATTATTATTATTATTATTATTATTATTTTTTTTTATTTTTTTTTCTTTTCTCTTTACTACGTTTGTAATAGTCTTATTTTGTAAAAACAGGCTAGCCAGTTACAAATTACCTTGTAATAGTGAGATTTGTAATTGTAGTTTTAACTGGAATTCAAAATGAAAAGTTTCCATTATTATTATTATTGTACTTCACATTATTATTATTATTCTTATTGAATTTCACGACAAATTTTGGTGGTTGGCCAATTGAAGCAAAATCTTTCTTGTGCAACATTTGTTCGCTTATTTGATTCGTCTGGCTGTTCTAGTTAATTTCATCGTGTTCTTAGTTTCTTTGATATTTAGCAGGGAATTGTCAGCTCGATGAATGAAAGGAGAAAGAAAAAAAAACCAAAAAGTTCAAGGGAATATTTAAATGATGGCATGATGCGCAGATATATATGCAAAAAAACATGCACGACCCGGCCAAACGGCGCAACAAACCTTGCACAGTGCAATATGGGCTGCTATAAGATGCAGTTGTTCCTTTGCAACAATGTACCATGTTGCATCTTTGGCCGGGTTCTAAGAACAAGTTTATAGTGCGACGTGTGATTCATTTTTTGGCTTTCCATAAAAACTTGGACAATGACAATAATTTTACACTATTTATTGAATTTTTTCTACATGGAAATGCTATGAGTGCATTAAATTCCTGCTACAGAGCCGTTTCAATGCGGGTCCACTTTGGCTCGCGTGAAATGTCCCGTGATTTAACGAATCAAAGGTTTTCAAATGCCTGCAAATGATAAACTTCTCACCACATCACTTCGGGTATACTCCTCGAGTTTGAAGGAATGCTTCCAAAGCTGTGTGTCAAAATCTTATTTTCTAGCTTCCATTA